ATCTTTAAGATAGAGATTGGAAAGCTAACATTGTGACTGGGCTCTAGGCTATAAAAAAGTCGGCAGTCTCTTAGCGTTTTCTATCTCCATAGAGGAAAGGTTGTTCTGCTTTTTCCCCAATTTGAACGGTTCATATATTGGAATCAGGTTTCCAATGGTGATTAGGGCCTGGAGATCTTTAAAACAGCGTAGGAGCAGCTGTTCCAAATGACACATGCTAAGAACGGCCGCTGTTGCCAGACAGCACCCCAATCTGTCACTATTTATTCCCCACCAAGCAGTTGGAAGCCAGGTAGAGGTATTGTAGGGGTACATGAAGACCCACACTCAGTACATACAGAGTATGGTCTCTTAGGTAGGCTTGGCTACACTCGAAATCATCTGGAGGCTTGTGAGTTGCCTGCCAAATGTGGTAGAAGTATCTAGCAGATGAGATGAAGGGCCTCTTGGCACTTGGTGGTTCTGAAAGCAGTGATGGAGTTATTACTGTAGGCTTTAAGGAACATCTTCAGCAATAATTTCTAGCACTTGTAGATTCAAGGGAAAAATGTGCAAAATATCGATTTGTCACAGTACATGTCATGGCCTAATGCAGTCACTACTAATGGAAGTCAGCTTCAAAACTGTTGAACATTTCTTGGTGGAAGGTTTTTCTTAGCCTCAGATAATACAGGCATTGCTGTGTGCTGCATGTAGACTAAAGCATCTTACATACTGTATGTATGTAGACTAAAGCATCCTGTGCATTGCATGTATGTAGACTGAAGCATCCTGTGTACTGCATGTATGTAGACTGGAGCATCCTGTGCACTGCATGTAGACTGAAGCATCCTGTGTACTGCAGACTCTCTTGCCCTTCCCACAGCCCTGGCAAGGTCATCCCAGTTTGGATCTGCCGACAGGGAGTAACCATGCTCAAGCTGCATACTTCTGCAAGTCCGTACCGTGTCTGGACAATAATGCTTGGAATTTCTATTGAGCCTTTCATCTTTGAAGTTCAATGTTCTAACTCTAATCTTTATGACTTCTTGGTGAGGTAGCAACTAGGGCACTGTTTTGATTTCAATTTTACAGGTAGAGGTGTGAGCATGTGACTGACATTCAGGTTCAAGGGTCTGTTCAGGGGTCCTGCATGAGTCAAGGCTGAGGTGGGAACAGAGATGGATATTTTGTAACCCTACGTTACAGTTTTCTTTATTCACTCCTTTTCAGCTCAAAGGCAATGTGTTGTTGTCCACACCCCCTTCCACCCCACAGGAAAGAGAATTGTGCAACGATTTTAGCTCATTCCAAATACATTTAAAGACAGAGATGGAAATCAAGTTACAAAGTCTAAATTTTCTAAAATCTTTTCTAAAGTACTTCTAATGTCTGGTCCAACTGCTGGGTTTAATTTGAAAAGTATATATAGAATGTAATGACTTCTCCCTTGGCCTGGCTGGTCTTAAGGTAGCCAGTTCCTTAAGGTAACTAGTTAGCTGTACCTGTCAGAATCCACAGGCTCATTTTGCCCTGATGATTGCCAGCCACACGGAGACTTTAGGCAGGTCACCTCTTCTGATCCTAATACAGCAACACTTTCAACTCAAGACTTTATAATTAAGGCATGGTGATTATTTGCAGGAGAGTGCAGCGTTGTAATGCAGTTTAAAAACAAGTCTCTATACATAATAATAAAACCCAGGCGCATGAAAATACATGTTAGATGAACCAGTAATATCTGCTTCCTTGAAGTATCTCATTAGCATCTATCAAGTAGTTAATGGTCTCAAAGCACTTGACAGTTAATCCATAGAACATCCTTCGTAGATAATTAAATATTCTGAGCTGAATTTCCAGGAGCGGACACACCAAGCAGCCATGAGCCTTGATCGGAAGGATGAGACAGGAAGCTGGGGTTGAAGTAAGTGATCAATAACAGCCTGTTCCTCAGAGAGATGCCTGTTCGTTCACACAGCCCTTCAGTGTGCCCTTTCAGAGTCACGATGAAAACCCAGTAAAGAAGGAAACTTTTTCACTTTAACAAACTCATATCTGCTTCAATAAAACTGCAGTTCATTTACATAAAAATTCTTCGTTGGTTGCTGCCAGGCTTATTTGGGGAGACTGAGAAGGAAGCTACCCACTCACTGGGTAGCTTGGAGGTACAGGAACTTCGGCCCCCTCACCTCGTGCATTCTGGGGATTCTTAGGACATTTAAGTGTGTTTGCTGGGGGTCTGACTGTGTTACAGAAGGATTCCTTGTTCCGGTTCCTACAGCAACAATGCCATTTTGGAAACTCTGTGTACTGTGGTGCAGAGGGGAAGTATTACCAGCATTATCTTGAAACTTTTTTTTTTTTTAGGGTGAAATGAATGATTTCTTCCTTTCATAAACTCATTGAACACCCTTCTTTCCACTCCCTCCCAAATCTTATTTAGTATTACTTTATATTGATAATGCAGGGAGATCCGGGAGAGATTTGTACAAAGCATGTACTGAGATAAGACATAATCAATGTATGAAGAAGGCTTTAGATTAGTAGCAGCAAGTGAATATCTTCAACTTTGGAGAAAAGGTAAAAACTTACACTTTTTCTTATATTTACTTGAAGTTTTTTTTTTTGGGGGGGGGGCAGGGTTTCTCTGTGGAGCCCTGGCTGTCCTAGAACTCACTCTGTAGACCAGGCTGACCTCGAACTCAGAGAGATCTGCCTGCCTCTGCCTCCTGAGTGCTGGGATTAAAGGCGTGCAACACCACAGCATGGTGAAAACAATACTAAATGCACACAAACACACACACTGCTGGTACAGATGGGACTCAGAGCCTGGGCATGCTACGCGCAAGCGCTTTACCACTGAGCCGCATTCCCCGCCCCCTTTTCAAGGCAGGCTCTCACTGTGCAGGTTAAACTGGCCTCAAACTACAAGGCTTCCTGCCTCCGCCCGCCAAGTGCTGGGATTACAGGTGAACCCCATCATGCCTGGCTCTACTTTATTGTTTTTCTGTCAGTGTGGCTAAAATGTGACAGGAAAACAACCTTGGAGACAGAATTTTATAAAAAGATGTTAACCTGGAGACTTAAAGGTTTTCTTTAACTGCTATTTTCTGAGGGGCCAGTTTTTTTTTTTTTCAAATTTTTATTTTTATGTCAAAGAAAACATGTTCAGTGAGTAATTTCTGACAAAGCCATGTCCGTGATGATGTTAGCGAGGCCCCCTGTGTCAGCCACGGTTCCAACAGTTTTACGTCACTAGATATCCACCAAGCTCACTAATGCCATCTTCTCTTTGTAGAGGATGAAAGTGAGGCTCAGGGTAACACACAGAAGGTCAGACACTAATTTGTGGGGAAGTCAGGATCTGAACCAGGGCAACTGGGCTCCAGGCCCTTCACTAGTGTTTATACCAGTCGCCAAACAGTCCCTTTGATCCCAGGGTGAAGCGAATGTTGAAGGCAGGTCCCAGGATAATAGGCTGTTTTCAGGATGGCATTCTCAGTGATGAAAGCCAGCAGACTTGGCTTCGATTATAAACTATTTCCAACGTGAATAGTGACTTCCAGTCAGCGATGACGCTTCCACCCTGGGTCACTAAAAGGTATGAATGACAGGGCTTAGGGTCTTTCCTTCCGGCTGACTTAGGTAACAGAAAAGGGGAAGACAGGAAAACGGTGGAGGATGATGAAGACAGAGGAAGCAGGAACTATGGTTTCCAATGGCTTTAAGTCCTTCCTGGGCCAGATGCTTTGAAATCATCCAACGAAGTTCCTGTACTGCCTTAACATATAGGTCTACATGTAACATTTGTGGGAAAGAGGATTTCAAAGTACCGCGTGCTGCACATCTCTCGGATGATAACGATCGCAGCATTTGGAATGAGTGCTGACCACTAAGAGCCTCCCTGAGTCGACCTCTTAAACAGCAGACAGGTTCTTCAAAGGGAAAGAAGCACTGTGAAGTAGAGGCTGGGGAGATCTGAAGCTGAGCCCAGATGGCCTTGCTGTTAGGGCTTATCTCCCGGAGCCAGGGAGGAAGGGTGAGCGGCAACATCTTTCCGTTTATTTCTGCCCTTCTGTCCTGTCTGACCCTTTGCCCCCAGAGCTGCCCGATTGTATTTCTTTTCCATCTCTTTCCTGCTCTCTCTCAGAGAGTCTGAGGCAGCCGGCTCACCAGCAGGCCACACTGATAGAAACACAGAAATATTGTAGACCACAGCGCGACCACTTGAGACAGGCAGAGTCCTGGAGCAGTAACACACTAGCCATGTGCTAGTGCTAGGATTCAGTGCTAGGAGAAGCAGGGTTCTGCAGAGTTAGGCAGGGCTGAGTCTTCAACCTGGAAGAGCAGTACATGCTTTGCAGAGGGAAGGCTACTAGGGGCATGGTTAACATCATTTCCGGGACCTGTTTATTTATTTATTTTATTAATTAAAAATGAACTCTAGTATTTTATCCCTTTCCTGAGATACTTATTAGTGTTCTTTATAGTAGATCTTATTATTGGAGTCATCTCTTAAGACTAGCTTTTCACTTCCTCCCTTTCTTCCTGTCTCCCTCCCTCCCTCCCTCCCTCTTTCTTTCCTTCTGTTTCTCTTCTATTTTGGCTGATGGCTCTAGACTTTTGTATACCACAAATTATTAAAGAAAAAGAAAGTAAGAATTGGAAGAAAGGTAACTGCATGCATGCGTGTGTGTGTGTGTGTGTGTGTGTGTGTGTGTGTGTGTGTGTATGTGTGTGTGTGTATACATGAAGGCAACAGATCACTTCTGGGCTGCCAGATTCTACTTTTGCTGAATAAAACTTGGGACAAACAACTATCATTTCCTCTCATTGTTTCACATTTGAAGGGATGACGTAACCACAGAGAGTGGGAGGCGGCAGCATCCTTCCTCAGAAACGATGCCTCGAAGTGTTAAGCCCACACGCCCATTTACGATGACGTATTTAAAATTGATGGGTGTAAGAAAATGATCCAGTACAGTTTTAGTTCATCACACACCCTTCAGACACTTGTTTTTGTTGGAAAGATTATCAGGAGACTTAATCTCCAGCGTGAAGGGGAGACCAGATGTCCTGCTCCCGGGAATGATTTAAAAATCATGTTCCATGCCCCAGATCTCCGCTCCCATAACATGCAAATAGGAGGTCCTTGCTGATTTGATACCATCCAATGTGGAATATGCTAGGGAGGGTGATCCTTAGTGGCCAAGGCTACCAAATACTTTGGAACCATTCTCCCACTGATGATACCTAGGCTGTACCTTGAGAATCTGGGTGGGTGCTGGTCATGGAGTAGAGGAAAAGCATGGAAGTGTGGTGGCGGCAGATCTCGGCCTTGCTTTGACCCATCTGAACAAGTAAATGCTGCCTCTGACCTCGGAAACCCGGCTTCACACACCCCAGATCCTTTCGTTGGGGAAACCTGTTCTATGAGGACAAACGGAGACATCTATTATTTGGAAATGCTCTCTGGAGTCGACATCATTCCACACAACCTGGTAAAGACAGTTTTCTTTATATTCTTTCATCCTCAATGATTCTAAGTGCTCCCCTGTACTACCCTCACCCGGCACCCGGGAATAATGTCCGGCCTCACGGGGTGCCATTTGGTGTGAGCCTGAAGTCAAGAAATGACAGCATTCCCCATACCAGCCTGTCTGCTCCCTCACCCTGGATGGAAGGAGAGCAGCCAATGGCAGTGTCTGGCTAGTGGGAGGGAGGCAGGAAGTTTGCACAGGAGCCAGGTGTCAGAGGATGGTCCACATCAGGGTAGACAGACTCCATCTACAGAGGCCAACCAGAGACAGATGTTACCACTGCTGCCTGCTCCAGCTGTGAACCAGGATGTGAGGATTACTACTTAGATGTTGCTGTGCCCCTTACATGCCACAGGTGATATCCTGAACTCCAGTCCTGCGGAACGCAGGTGCAGATATAATGAGTTGAGATGAGCTCACACCCTTGATGCTGGTTTCTAGCTGTGCACAGCCATGCTCTTCATTCCCTTTTCTTCCAGATGCTTTGCTGATATGGTTGTAACCTGCCTCCAGACCAGAAGGGTGCTCTAGGAATGGGTATGAAAGCACACACCTCTCTTTCTGCTGTCCATTTAGAAGCCCCCCTTGCTCACGCAGCTGTGGCGACAAGCACTTTTGATTGGGCGAGGGTTACTCAGGCCATAGGGAGAGCATGAGAAAGAGATGATGTTCCCTTGATAGTAGGTCATGGGAGAATATTCTAGGCCACGGCGTGATTAACCAGAATGAAATTCTCCTGAGTCTAGTAGAGACTCAAATGGATGGGAAGAGAGGGCCACGCCTCGAGTTGCGCTAATTGGACTTCGCCCAGATGCAAAAGCTTGTAAACTTCAAACAGCAAGGCAAACATGTGTTGACTTCCTGAACAAGCTGGTGGGAAGAATCTTTGCCACCCGTGCTCTCCAGGGTGGCACCCGAGGCAGTAAGGTGGGCATTTTACAGCTGCAGTGCCCCACCGGCCAAAGTCAAGTTTCCTCAGCAAGTTTTCTTCCCCTCCTGAGCGTTCCCATTGTTCTCAGTGCCTGAGACAGAGGCAGAGCTGAGAGTCGAGGTGGGGGAGGGGAGGCAGGGGAGGAGAAGGATGGGGTGGAAAGTGCCTTGGTGAAACAAGAGGCAGGCTTTCTAAATGTCCAGGGGTTCCTGCGACGTTGCTCCCTCCTTCTCTGAGGTTAGTGGGTTTAATTATTAAACACAGAAGCTTCATCAACATTTGGGCTCCTTGGAGACAACCAGCAATTATCTCAGATTCTGTTCCCACTACCATCCCTCCCCAACTTCAAAGGGAACTCATTACCAGGCCCCAAATTCTTCAAATTACTTTCCCATCATCTCCAATGATGTTTATAAGTCGTTCATAATGAGAGTCTAATCTACCGTCAGATTACTAAAGAAGCTCTCAGAAGATGGACTGCGATAAAATTATCCCAACTTGGGCTGATTATCTTTGGATCATTCCTCCCAACAAGATCTTACTCACTGGTTTGTTACAATTTTAGGAGATATTTTATGTACATATATTTACAAGAATAATTTATACAGATTTCTCCCTGGCTCTTATTGGCAAATTAACATCCAAATGAGGCTTCTCAAAATGAGCTAGTTTATGTCTTGCGGATGAATAATTAAAAATGTATATTAAACTGGAGTGAATGTGATGAGCCTGTCTTTGAGGTTGCCAGTAAAATATAGTAGCCTTTGTTTTATGGAAGATTGTATTTCATATGAGGAAGATCAAGACATCCCAGAGCCCTGGAGGCTTTATTAATAGACAGCTTAGTTCATTAATGTGAGCAATGCCAAGGTTTGTCCTTGACATCAACAACAACAAAAAAAGAAGAAAGAAAAAAGGAGAGACATAGTTACACATCTTATGTTTTTTACTTAAGATTTTTTTCCATCACTATTTACATGATTACTTGATAAAAATGTAAGTAGTAAACCAGGTGGAGTTGGTGGCAAGAATTTCCTGGAAATCATCTTTATAAAGATTTAAAAAATCTCATGCACACATCAGGCTGAGCCTTTATTGTCTACTGTTTTTCCCTCAGCTGCCTGCCCTCGCAAGCAGGCTCTCCTCTTTGGGCGGGTGAGGTGGGTTGTCTGCCCCTCACTGTGTCCTTATCGATTGCAGAGGGAGAAGAGAGGATGCGGTGTAGGGGTCTACCTTTAAGCATTTGCAGGGGCAGACAGCTGCTGAGCTCCAACAGCAATCCCAATGCAGAGAGATAGTGAGCAGGAGGATAGGCCAAGTTTCCACCAGCAGCATGAGCAGGGGATCTTAAGCACAACCTAATCAAGCAGCATCCATCAGGCGCATCAGAGAACGAGGCAGGTAAGTTGACAGAGAGATGGAACAGGGTAGAAACTACAGCTCTGCTGTTTGTAGATTCCGTAACAAGGGACCTTCAGATCATGACCTGTTCCTTGCTGCCCCTACTTTAATCTTTCTTGTCCCACTTTTGTTCTAAGTCTGGGCAAAGTCACTGAGGGACATGAATCAGGAGAGGTCATATGTCACTCAGCTACGGGAGAAGGGAGCTTTTTCCGAAAGGTGTGAAGGATGTTGCGACATCTGTCATGTTCTTGTTCACGTCTGCCTATCTTTCCTTCCCTGCCTGGGATCAGATGCCATAAAAACGGAAACTTTGACATGTGATCACATTAATTTTTAACTCTGAACTCTTGGCACCAGAGACCAAATCACTGAATAGAGATAAGGCTTAATCATCTATTCCCCAGGAGGAAGTAAAGAGACTTGTAACAGGAGAGAGGGCGATACAGGTAAGAGGGAGGGAAGCGGGGAGGGCTCTTCTCATTCCTTCCTGTTCTTGGGGCTGTCAGGTCAGAGGAAGTCTGCAGTGTCCTGGCCACTTATTAAAAACAAGGGCACTGTACACAAATAAGTGAGGGCCAGACAGACAGAATGCACTAGGAAGTTGTGGGGAGCAGATGAAGACCTGAGTGATATATTATTGACATGAGCACGGCCATGTCAGGGACCCCAATGCCCCAGACCCACGGGAATGGCAAGGCCTTCTCTGGGTCAGGTTCAGGAATGGAAAAGCCATCCCCTTAGTGGAGGAGTACATTATTAATGTCATCTCTCTGATTAGCCCTGATGATTGAAAGACTCCGGACCAAACCCCAAAAGGACCAAAACAGCAGAGCAAACAGGGTTGTATACTGCTTTAGTGCCCAAGAGTAGGTCTGTAGGGAGTTGGATGGTCGTTTCACCAGAAGTCACTAGTGGATGCCTACATGCAGAAATTTGGAAGAAGAATCTGGTGCGCAGTCAAATTCTATACAGATACGAAGAATTTGATTGCTATGAGCATGCTGGTCCAAGGACTGAGTAAAACTGCTAACTAGTTGTCTATTGCTGATTCCTCGGTGAAATCTGAGTGCTCCTACTGTAACCTTCGAGACTCTTCTATCATTTATAGTAAGCCCCTTTGAGACTCTTCAGGGCCTGCCACCTTACTCATTGTCTTACCGTGGAATGTAAGATCACAACCTATTTACCTTTTTCCCAGAAGCCCATCCCTGGCGTTTGTTTTACCCCTCCCCACAGGGTTTGTGGAGTGGGTCTTGGCCTTATCTGTTGCTTTTGTTCCTTGAAAGACAAACGTCCATCCTTTGTCATTGACTGGCTTTGAAACAGATGGCCACAGAATTTGTAATTGTGGGAAAATGAAAACACTCCGAAGTATAAAGTCGCCAGATTACCACTCCCAAATGTGCTAAGTTCTCATACGTTCTTTGTGTCTTCTTTTCCCCATACAGTAATTCTGTGGGCCTCCAGGGTAAGGTTCCCATCATGTCTCCGAGTACCTCGTTCCCTGTGACCTCAGCTTGGTCCTTTAGCTAGCTCTTCTGCATCCTTCTGCAGGGCCCCGGCACACAGGCACATCAGGCACAGCGGTTATGTATGACTGCCAAAGCTGACAGGATGATTGTGTTAGCGTATGTTGAGTGCGGGATACAGCTCCAGGGAGCAGGAGCACTTCCTGGAACACCTAGTGCAGGAGTTGGACAGATAGCTCAGTGGTTAAGAGCACATATTATCCTGGCAGGGGACCTGGGTTCTATGTCTGGCACCCACACCAGGCAGCTCACAGCTGTCTGTAGCTCCAGTTCCAGGAGCTTTGTTATCCCTCTGACCTCCTCATACATAGACATACACATGTACACCAAGCAAACAAAACAAAGAAATGCCTAGCGTAGAATTTTGCTATGGTGTTGTGTTTCCCAGGGACGTGAGCACAGAGCCACGTGGCCTGAGATGGAAGGGCTGCCATGTTTCTGGGTGTAGATCCTTCCAGCCGTCTTGGAATGCCTATGCTTTGCTACTCAGTACATTCAATGTGCTTTCCTCTCTTCTAATGAGCTCCGCCCTAGAGGCTCCTCAGTCCTCCGATGAGAACGACCAGACTCCACAGCCTCCAACAGTGGGTAAAACGTGGGCTTGTTCCCAGGAGGATGTTTGACCCTCACGAGACTTGCATCAAGCTCAAGCTGCCAGTTCAGCTTCAGAGAAAGCTGATCCCTAAAAGGGGTGGAGGAAAGTCAGGCTGAGCTGAGGTCTCAGCCCAGCCACCCATGCTGGTTCCCGGTTTTGAAGCAGTTATTTATTATCTACTTATTGGCCCTTTGCTTTACAATTGATTTCTGAGCGTAAGGCTCCCCAGGAGAAATTGCATGACTGAGGTTTTGTGTCTTGATTGTCTGTGAAGGCCTCTAGTATGAACCATGTGTTTCTGATGCCAGGGACCCTTGAATGGTGGCTGACTGCTGCTTTTGGTCTCTGCCACGTCATAGACACGACTCTCCAAAGGCGTTGCCCCCATACTTCAACGGTAATTTATCCATTTCTAGGTACTTTTATATACATTCAGAATTTGGTAGGATCTACATGAATGAGATTTCCTGATTTTTGACTTTTACATTGAGTTGGTATGTGGTAAATCTTAATGGGACTATTATTCAGAATAGAACCTTTTTTTTTTTAATCATAAAAGTGTATTGTAAGCTATTAGTATCTTGAAAAAAAATTCTCCTCTGCAATGAAACCAAACTGCAGATGATGTCATGAATGTGTTAGACAAAGATAAGAATCAATTTGAAGTAAGTGAAACATTTACTTTGTCAGCTGTTGACTAGGTGTTTGATTTTGAAAGCCCAGTCATCAGTCGGTAATGCGCAGGGCCAGGTGCCATGAGTCTCTTTGCTACTATATTTTCTCCTAGCTCCTTTCCTTCCTGATTCACCCACCGCCTTTCATTACCCATCCCGTCTCGATTACCCGTCTCCGAGTCTTCAGACCGCTCAGAGATCCAGTGACGTCGTTTCCGGTGGTGGCAGGAGGTGTTCATAGCTGGCTCCTTCGCAGTTAACTGTGGAGTCCGGCCTGGAGCGAGTTGACTGATGATTCAGTGTTTGGAGTGTACTCAGAGATCCTCACGTGAAACGTAAGATCTGAGCGCACTGGGCTGTTGCTACCCTTCATTTGTCTGTGGTCAAACTCCTGGTGCCACGGCAATGTTCACTAAGTAAATAATAAGCGGAATGAAGTACACTTCCTTCTCCATTTTAATAATGTACTATTCATACTTTTTTTTTTTCTGGAACAAAGAATCATTGTAGGAAGTTGCTCTGCCAATATTAGTCTGATATCTTATTGCAGGCGGAAAAAAGAGATAAAATGGCACGGCACAGGAAAACTGATAAAAAAAAAAGTCTCCTTTCAAAACAAAAGCCAATAAGGCATCAGCACAAACTATGAAAAGCCGAGGTACAGTTTAAATGCCATTAAAGGAACGTGAATGTATGTACTCAGCTCTCCCAGTACTTTCCTTGGTTATAACCTACTGAGGCCCAGAGGAAAATCATAATTACAGTTTCCTGAACAATTCTCTGTTGGTTTTGGAAGTCTATTGTTCTCTGGTGCGATCAGGGCCTGAGGAGAGGCTGACAGAGATATTTAGCAGAGAGAAGAACCGTTGCCAGCCATTTCCAGTGGGAACTGAGCTACCAAATATTTTTCTCAAATTATAGAAAATTGCCATTTGCAGAGTCCACACTGTATTTAATGTCTTAATTTAGGATTAGACATCTGTAACTTATTGTTAGGACATCCGGAGGGTTTGCAAAACTCTGCAAGACGAATGTATCTCTCAGTTTTGTCCTATAGCATCTCTGAAGAAAATTGCTTTGGTCCCATGTATGAAGAGTCGCTGATGGCCAAAAGAACCACTCTGTAATTTTCCAGTGGAGAAGCTGAGGTCCTCCCAGTGCCGTGTTGACATCTTTTCACCCAAATCCGCCACCACTTGACCAAGGACCCTGACAGTGGTTACCCTGCAGGCTGCTGCCCATAATTCTAACTGGCTCCAGTAGACCCGAGAACAACCTCCTCTCTCTCTCCTCAACTTGGCTGAAGACTAGAGCCGTCTAGGAACACAAGCTTTAGAAGCCACAATTCCTGCTGTTCCTCTCTCCCCCGCTATTAACACACAGGTGCAAGAATGAATTGATCTTACAGTACGGATATAAGGATCATGACTAATACAGTCAAAAGACTTAGGGGTTTTCAAAGGCTCAAGAGGAGTATAAAGAAATGAGAATCTTTTTTTCCTTTTGTAATCTGTGTAGATTCGTTTCAGCTCTGGTTCTTTTTGGTAGGCCAAAGATGGCTTCCAAGAAAAGACTACATTGATGCTGAACCTTGAGGAATGGTAAAGATGATCCAGGACTAAGATCCAAGAGGCTAAGAGAACGGTGTGGGCAAAACAGGGCAGTGAGAGTTGATGGCCTGGCATTCCCCAGAAGTAGAGGGGAGCTAGGAAAAAAGTCTGGAAAAGCCACTTGACAAGGTGTTGGCGTTGGTGGCGCTCTTTCTGCGAAGCCTTCTCTGATGTGCACCGCTGGACGGAATGCTGTTTCTCTGTACTTCTGGAATGCTCTGCCTCTGTCCCAGGGTAGCTCCTCATGCAGGACGTGGAATCACATTCTTCTTGATGCCTTTTCTCTGTTGTTGTTTTTCATGTCCTCAAACTTCAATGCATATTTTTCACTTCAGAATGGTTTTGTGTGAGCCGTCATAGCGGACTAGGCATTAGTCTCTTCTGGGGGTTATAGTTTTGCTACAGTGGGAAAGCTGGGTTTCTGGAGAAAATACACTTTTGCAACATTCCTTTATCTGTCTCCATTCTTTTTCTTCCTTCCTTTTATTTTATTTTTTTTTAAATATGCATTGGTGTTTTGCCTCATGTATATCTGTGTGAGAGTGTCAGATCCCCTGGAACGGGAGTTATAGACAGTTGTGAGCTGCCGTGTGGGTACTGGGAATTGAACCTGGGTCCTCTGCAGGAGCAGCCAGTGCTCCTAACCACTGAGCCATCTGTCCAGTCCCAGTTGTCTTCATTCTTAAGTTGCAGATTATGAACCTAAATTTTTTAACATAATTTTTTTTATTGATTCTTTGAGAATTTCACATCATGCACCCAATCTCGCTCATTTCCCAGTCCCTCCATATCTGCCCTTCACCCTTATAGTATCCCCCCAACAAAGGAAAACTAAAGAAGAAATGAGATAAAAATAAAAAGTAAAAAATGAACAATTCAAATAAGAATATTAATTAAAAAACAAGCAAACAAAAATGAACCAACCAACCAAACTAACAAAAATAAATAAATATAAAATAAAATAAAACACCCACTCCATTCCTCCATCTTTCCTGCCTCTCCATCTCCTCTTCGTTTGTCTTGTAGTGTTGGGAGCTGCTGTGTATCATGCATTATACCCTTTCGTTCAAACATCTTTACTTGCAAATGTTCGTTGTGTAGTGTGTCGTTGGTCAGGTTCAAGGCCTCCAGCTCCCGGTATACCATCTATACTGGACCCTCACTGAAACACTTTGGATGTCTTGCTGTTGCCCGGAGTCATGACAATCATGTGGCTATGGGTCCACAGGACCAGTCCCTTCACGCCCTCTAACAGGTCATAGATGGGGTAGATGTTAGGGAGTGCCCACTCAAAGTCCTGGTTGTGGGTTTGGGTGGTAGCTGGGTTGTTCTGATCCAGTTGCTGGGACCACTCCCTTCAGGTGAGGGGTGGAGCCAGATGTCTCATGCCCATGGTGAGGAATGGGGCCAGCTTCCCCAAATGTGTGTGTGTGGTGTGTGTGTGTGTGTGTGTGTGTGTGTGTATGTGTGTGTGTGTGTGTGTGTGTGTGTGTGTGTGTGTGTGTGTGTGTGTGTGTGTGTGAACTCTCCTATTAGGATTGGAATCATCCAGGTCTGTTAGCTGTGGGCCAGTGAGGGCCAGGGCCAGCTCAGTACAGCCCTTGTGTTTCAACACACAGTTCAGTAACACATGGTTCACATGGTCCCCTGTGGTAACACAGGCAATGGACATCAACACAGACCCCAGCTGCAGCAGGACCACAAACCCAGATACGGCCATCAACAGCAGCTTGGGCCTGGATGTTACCAATGCCCTGAGTAGCAGTGCAGGCCTCTCAGATTGGCATAGGCCCAGCAGCAGCATGGTCCCCAGACTCCAACATGGCCCCATGTGGCAGCCCAGACCCTGGACAGTCCCATAGCCTTTGATGGTAACAGGAGCCACAGACCTCAACATAGACTCTGCTGTAGGGCCACGGACACAGACTCGGCCCTCGGCTGCAGCTTGGGCCCAGACGTCAACATGGCCCTCGGCTGCAGTGCAGGCCACCGTGATCTGTATGGTCCTGGTGGCAACATGACTCTCAGGCACCAACATGTCCTGGGGGAACATCTGCACAGCCGTTGGTGGTAACAGGAGCCACTGACATGGATGCAGACCTTGGCTGCGGTAGGCAATGGACCTAGACATGGCCCTCAGAAGCAGCTTGGGCCTGGTTGATACCGTGGTCACGAGTGGTAGTGCAGGCCACTCAGATCGGTGTGGCACGGGCTGTGGCACTTCTCTCGGTCCCCAACAAGGCTACAGAGTCTGGGTGTCCTTGTGGCTTTTGGTGGCGACATGGACCACGGACATCAACACAAACCCCGGCTGTGGTAGGACCATGGACCCAGACCTGGTCCTCGGCAGCAGTCTGGGTCCATGTCACCGTGGACCCAGGAGGCAGCACAAGCCACTCAGATTGGCATTGCTCTGGCTCCACAGCAGCCCTTGGACACCAACATGGGCCCCAGGTGGGGGCCCAGATCCTGAGCATCCACACCAGTGCCATGGACCTCAACACAGACCCTGATTGCGATAGGGCCATGACCCGGACCCAGACACGACACTCAAAAAACCTTTTTCTTAAATGATGACTTAAAATATTTTGATTATCTTCAAAGACCTCAGAATAGCCCAGATGACTGTTCTAAAGGCACCAAGCAAATGAATAAGAAATGTAGGTGCATTTTATAATTGTGCTATGAAAATAAAACATGTACTTGGTATTATAGAAGGAACAGAATAAAGTACCAAGTGAATTAGTACTTTTTGGATTCACCTGAAAGAGTTAGCTGCTGAATTGGTAAAAGAACCTCTTTGTAAAAGAGTAGTGTCTGTTAGGTGACTTGCCAGTGTAAGGCCTTACTGAGTGACAGCACAAGCATAAGCAGAATCCTTACATTTGGCTTACACAAAGATTATATTGGAAGGAACCCTGAACTTGGAGCCAGAGAAAAATGGTGCCTCACTCTAGAAATTGCTACACATCTCCGGGAATGTCTCGGATCTTCAGGTTCTTATCTGCACCCTCAAAACCATCCTGCTCATTTGGTTTGCCTTGCAGAGCTGTGAGGATTGGTAAGGTAATGTAGATGTGAGGTAGTAACTGCAGAGTCCTCCCTCCTCCTCCTCCTCTTCCTCCTTATTCTTCCTCCTTCTCTTCTTCCTCCTCTTCTCCCTCTTCTTCCTCCTCCTCTCCTTCCTCTTCTGAGTCTTCCTCCTTCTTATCAGAAGGGTGCAAGAAGCCAGTTGTTCTCCTGAATGCTCCACAGCATTTTTTTTGCTCTCCAGTTGAGTGACAGGTTGCAGAACCTAGGACCCTTGATTTAATGCTCAATCCATCGATTGCCCTCTACTGCTGCTTTCTAATCTGACAAGGAAAACAGTTCAGACTGGGGGTAGAGGAATGTAAGGTTGTAAACGTCTGTCCTTGGCAGAATGTGTGATACCCTCTGGAGTTTAACCCCACGGCGTCGAGTTGGTCTCAGGTTGTTCTGCTGTACAGCTTCCTGACAGTGCCTGGAAGTATCCAGGGACAGACTGTGGCATTTGAGTGCAGACAGGACAGGGCAGCATTGTTCCCACCACGTTCTCTGCTCTCTGCATATGTTGAAAGACCAACCGGTCCCGTCTCTGTGAGAGGGGGAAGGGTATGTTCACCAACCCTATTCCCACCCTCGACATTTTTATGAAATGCTAACTTGATAGAAATTTGTCACTCCTTGGTGGCCCTTTGTCTTCGTTCATGACAGCTTTATTTTCTTTGATCTGCAAAGCCCAGAGAGTAGAGGGTGGTGTTTGATTTCATACACCAGGTACAATTCACTTTGATTATCTTCTTGGAATTGGCCCCACATTCAAGGATGAGGGACCGTTGTCCCAGATCACCTTGTATCTTGGACAGACTTACAACCACAAAGTGTGTCTGTAACCTAGTTATTCAGTATTTGTCAGGAAGGTGCCGTGTTTTGCTGAGCTGTGATTTTTGGATACACTCCATTTAAAATTAGTTCTTTGTGTGTGTGTGGTAGATTTATACTTCTGACAGGGACATAGCTATAAAATGTAAGATGTATCACCAGCCAGGGCTGGAACACATGCTATATCATTTGCTCTGCTGAAATTGGTCCTATGTAAATCCCCCTCTTTGCATAATGATCTGAAAATGGGAGAATTGGAAGAACAATGTCAAGTGGGAGTCAGCCTAGCGCCCTGAATAGTCTCGAGAGTCAACATGTTTTTCTAGATTTCAAATCTGCCTCCCTAAAATTTGGCTATGTTGCTGGGGTCCTGTCTAGCGCATCATTCGGTTTATAAAATAGTCAGGCCATTGTGGAATTAAAACTTGACAAAACAAACAGACAGAGAAGCGCCGAACTATGTAGCCACACATTTGTTCAAGTGCACAGGAATGCTCGCACAAACCCCTTTATCCATTTCATTTGTTACATGAAAGGCAGTGGTCAGCGTAAGAGAGCTGGGCCTTAGCAGCCTTATACAATATACCAATACTTTCAGGTTTCTTTTGTGCTCCTCTGAGGATCTGTAAAGACTAGGTCTGTCTCCCTGAAAACAATGAGTGCTATTCAATTGTGAGGAGTTCATGAATTACCCATGGATTTAGGATTAAGAATTAATATGTGGGAGACATAGATAAACTATGTTATATAGTTATGTTGGGGTGGTGTGCTCTCTCTCTCAAAGACATGGAGAGTTGTGGGTCCCTAGAAGAGGAGATGTCCCACTTTTCACTCAGGAGAGGATCCTATATTCTTACCAAGAGTCTAACATGTGCCTTGACAGCTGATCCTCAAAAATGGCAACACATTTACTGTCTGGTCCCTGTTTTTACGGTGGGAATAGGTAAGGCAGAAAAGGAACATTCTAGCCAGCAAGAAGAATGCTAGATTTGAGATTAGGCATTTAGGATTTTGTAGTTCCTGGTTCATTGATTTTAGTTGTGTAAAGTGTACATTTGTTAACCTTTCCAGGCTCCTTGTCTGAATCTATAAAGTCAAAATGGTGATACCTAAGCTCTGGACTGTAGCTCAGTGTAGATGGGGTGTGAGCCAGACCCTGGGTTCTGTACCCAACACCAAAGAAGAGGGAAAATGCCATATCTGGTAGTCAACCTCATGGCTAGGGAGGGGACCTCATGCTGGGAGGGAATAGGGGATAATGTTACAAAACAATACAGCTTTTCACAAGCCATATTGTTCTAGAAATACAACACATTGTCATTACTGTATCTACCTGCTACACCGATATTTTAGAAACTGACTAATGTGATTAAAAGTAGGCCACCAGTTATGTCTAGAGCATCACATGGTTCCTGGGAGGTGAGAGGACAATTATGGCCAGAACAAAACAACCCTATGGCACCAATCTGTGACCTCAGTTTTGGAGACGAATCCAGAATAGGACACCTCCTCCAA